CGGTGTAGCAGTCTGTTCCTGCATCAGCCTTCTGTTCCTGCTCCTTGCCTTGGGTTCAAACAATTGGATAGAGAATTTAATCACCAATTTTGGTCTGTGGAAAGTGTGTGTAAACACAATATGTACCACATATAGTATGGATGTGGTGCCAGGTAAGATCTCCTCTGTCTTTGTGGAGAAGGAGCACAAGGGTCTTCTTATGAGTTCCTTAGTACTATTTTGACCTGAAATCCTGGGGAGGGCTTAAGGCTGGGAAGGCCTTCCCAGTTCAACTAAGGGCCAGTCTTGTTTTTTACCAGGTAGGACAATCAGGAAGTTTCACCAAGATACTCTCTAGGAGGGCTGAGAATGCTACAGAGGAGAGTTAGGTAGGAAAGGACAGATTATATGATTCAGTTATTGATCCAATCCCAATCCAAATACAAGGAATTATTAAAGACTCTATAGAGATCAATGAAGGGAGCTTGGGCTCAGCTTCATCAGGTTCATCAGCTTCTCGATTGGTTTCCAAGATTGGCCATCTCCTGTTTGCCCCCAGGTAGCTAGGAGTAGATGTAGAAGGAAGAGGGAATGTCCTTGAGGGATAGGAGGAAGAGCTGCTGCCAAGGCAACAGTTAGATAAAAGAAATCTGAGTCCTAAGGCAGAACTGTAATATATGCAAACATCTCCAACAACCTCCTCCCTAGTTCATACAAAGATAAAGGGAGGAAGGGGAGAGCTACATATGGTCTCAATATTCCAGATGTGTCACCAGCCTGAGATGTGCAGAAAGCCCAGCCTTTAATTCTTACCTTGTCTCTCTATTGGCTCCCTACAGCCTATCTGCATGCCACCCGAGCCTTCCTGATTCTGGGGATGATTGCTGGAGCTGTCTCTTTTGGTGGCCTTTGCATCATGTTTGGTCAATCCAAGATTGGCAATATCTCCTTGAGCTTGGTATCATGTATTGCCAGCTTTACTGCAGGTATTATGTTTAATAAGAACCTTTACAAGAATCTTTTCCCAGATATGATTCCTATCCTTTGTGTTGCTTAACTCAATACCATCAGCAGTATTTGAAACTTCCCCAGATTTGTGCCAAGAAAACTTGAACTGAAAAGAACTTCAAAAGCAGGCAGAGTGTAGGATCTGGAATGGTGGTATGTGTGAAATTTTTCAAATTATTTGATAAAGAGTTCTTTAAAACAAACATATGGGCATCTTACAGATGACCGCCCAGGAGAAAATTCTCTTGAGTTCAACAGAACTCATGTCCCAATATACTGGTTGAAACCTTACTCTTATGAACTGTTTTTTAATACTTGGAATTTGGAATGGCGGCAGGGGGGAGTTTTCAAATTACTAGTGTAGAGTGCTTTCAAAACAAACAAACAAACATATAGGCTTTGAAACCCTTCATTTCATGAAGTTCTATTTTTTTAAAAAATGGTAGTGTTATCTACCATCTCAGGAGATGGTAGCACCTACCTGTCCTTGGATGATCTCAAAAAATTAAGTAAAATTGAATCTGCCTAATATTTGATTGGGAAATCACCCCAAAATCCCAGAGATGTAGGCTAGATGGGGAAGTTGAAAAGGCATTCCAAAAGAAGACCAATCACTTACTATTGTTGCCAAGACTGCAACAATATGGACAGGTCTATCCATCATGATGATGATGATGATGATGATGATGATGATGATGATGATGATGATGATAAAATCAGAAAGATGCAAGGCAGAGTACAAAGTTAAAACATCAAAAAAAAAAAAAAACACACAAGACCAAATACAGAAATTAAAATATTGGGGAAACTGTATATAGGTAGTAGGACTTATGACCATTTGTTTAACGACTATTCGAAGTTCCAATGGTGCTGAAAAAAGTGATTTACAACTAATCCTCACATAACTGTCACAGGGTCCTCGTGGTCACGTGACCAAAATTTGGGTGCTTGGCAACCAGCAAGTATTTACAATGGTTGCAGCGTTCCACAGTCATGTGATCGTTATTTGTGACCTTTCCAGGGGGCTTCCAACAAGCAAAGTCAATGCATTTGCTTAACAACCACAGCAAAAAAGGTTGTAAAATCAGGTGCAACTCACTTAACAACCACATCGCTTAGAGACAGAAATTCCAGTCCCAACTGTGGTCGTAAGTCAAGGACTACCTATAACTCTAATTGTACCAACTACCCATCATCAACCAGACGGGATTACCCCAGCCTCTGGCCTGTTTGAAAAGCCAGGTTTTTAAAGCTTTTCTGAGGGACAGCATGGTGGGGGCCAAATGAACCTCAGGCCTAGTGGGTATTTTCAAGGGCGGGAATAGCATCAGAAAAGGCACGGCTCCAGTATCTCAGAAGTTGGCATTGTTTAGTTGATGGGAGATGGACCATGCCCACCTTGTCTGATTTTATAGGATGGACAGGGACAATTGGAGCAAGATGGTCCCATAAAGAGCCAGGAACCAAATAATGAAAGGCTTTATAGATGAGAACCGACACCTTGAATAGCACTCAGAAACCAACTGGCAACCAGTGCAGTAGAGATGTCAGATGGACATACTGAAGTGCATTCGTAATTACTTATGGACCACCTTTAGTTTCCAGTGCATCTCTCCAGTGTATCTTCAAGTGCGGCCCCATGTACACG